ATATCGTCATGTCGGCCCATAATCTCGCTCGAAAAATGCCAAGATTGTGCGTCAGATCGCGAAACGCAACTTTCCGAACCGTAATCTGGACAAGATGGGTGTCCCGTACGAAGTGGTAAATGGACAGGGAGTCTATTCGAAGGACAACGAAGATTGGATGATGTTCTTGAGTTGGCTCAAGAAATAGCGTGACGACCCTCTAACATTCCGCTAACAACAAATCAAGCTGCTAGGGTTGCGCTTCCCCCCGCTTAAATCATGTGATAGAGTTTCTGCCTATTTTTCTGAAAGTTATTTAGCGTTCTGGAGAGTGTTTCGAGAAATGATAGCCCGGGTGTTAATACCCTTAGTAAATAGAGTTCATAAAGGGTCTATAAATAACTAGGAGAGAGTATAGTGACAGCCATCGACATCGAAACCTGTGCTAATAAATAATAAAGTATACAACGATACTAGTGTCGTTGTCCTCGCGGTTAAGTGCATATATTTGAATAGGGGATGTTGCACCTACAATATCCGAATTATAATACAATTCTAAATTTCACGGTTTACGGTGCAGACGAGGTCGCCAACGATAAGACCAATCACACTTGTCTTGATTGAAATCCATAAAGTGAAGCTATCAGTGATGCGGTTTTTGTCCAATCAGCCACCGTTAATTCCACGATCTCGACAGAACTTGCAACCTGTAGAAAAATTTCGTAATATAAAACCCGGTCTCTTGTATTTGACATATATAAAGGAAATGGCCAGGTTCGTAGCCCTCTTTATTAGCCAATTATATCGGGTGAAATCGTGGCAAACGATTTATATTTGTCAGTGACAAATTGTTCCCTCCGCTACGCCTTTTCTCGTGAACCAGCGCACTCTTTAATCAAGACAAGCGGGTTACTAAAGTAACTGGCGAGCATCATTTTGCGGAAGCATAATGAAGGCATTTATAAAACGCTATCACCTTCTACGATTAGCTATTTTAACAAACCATAAATCTACCTGTTTGTTCTCTGTTCAACGCTACCTACCACATGTCAATCGGTTTCTTGGCTGCAAAGATAATCGTAATTTAGTGTGGGCACCAGAGCGAGGCTACTAAGCTGACATGTTCCCTTTGACGTCAATATCGGTGGGATCTTGCACCTGGAACACACCAGGACGCTGTGACCCGTTGCCACAAGCACGCCCAAACAGACAGTGGCAACTAAACACCTCCAGGATGACACTGCGAGACAGTGGCAACTAAACACCTCCAGGATGACACTGCGAGATCAAGTCGTGTCAACAATTTTGGATCCAAAATCGACTTGAGTATGTATGGCAGTGTGATCGAGGCTTGGT